TGCTGATACATGAGAAAAACAATAGGCGTTCTTCCGGGGAATAAAGACAACCTTTGCAGTATTAGTTACACGGTTTTTAGCGTTTTACGTATATAAACAGTTTTAAAACAAAATAGGTTGAAAAGCTTCACCCTTAAACACTCTGAATGCCAGCCGAAAACAAATAGTTAGGAGTGGTCCAACGAGAAGTTGGAAAACGCAGTGACCCAATTCTAGTGCGACTCTAAGGAAAACTTGGAATTGGGTCAATAAAAGTGGGAGTACCGTCATGACAACCCATTGTCCCTTATCCGAAGACGGGTAAACAATAAGCTCTCTTCCCATGTGCCGCTATGTAGCGTTTGTTCGGATTGCCACTGGTTCTTCCACCTGAGTAAACCATTGTTCTTAGTTTTCTCCTGTCCATTTCAGCCTGAGTTTCGGTCAAGAGTACGAGGTCAGCTGCCACACTTATCTGGATGGACACCGGGCCGAGAAAGATGTTAACCTATTCTCATTGGCTACCATAATTCCACCAAATAACTCCTAGAACAATGTCAATGAGTACACTGTCATACTAGAGGTACCAATCAGCAGTAACTGCACACTGACAGTTCTTGAACAACTATACGTGTTATGGAAATAAATTATTTGCTAGAAGAGTACGATTTCCTGAAATAGTTGGCTTTGGAGACATAATGCACACACACGTAACACTGCCTGCCTGTAAACACCTAAATATAAAAGCTAACTTGGTCAAACCTCACCCGCAGCATTTTTTTCTTGTATGGAAAGTATTATTTCGTTAAAATTGAGAAGTCATTGTGAAAATTCGCTGTCCAGTTTCAATGGAAAAGGCACATTTCCTGCGTGTTTCTGCCACAAATCTGACACACCTCTTGGAATTTTGATCGGAATCAGATGACTGGAATACGGCCACCGTCAGGGGACAGAAACAATAAGGGATATCGATAAAGTCGACGAATACTGACCAGGGTGAATTAATTCGTAAGTATATCCACACCACCTGTTTGAACAGTCTTCTCCGCCGCTCGTCGTAACGAAATCATTCTAGTTAATTAGTTCAAATCAAAGGTAAAAGCGCTGAACAGGGCTCCACTATGATTAGAATTCATAAGCAGGTCAAATCCTCCTTGGTGCATTGAGATTTGAGCTCCGGTGTGTTATGGCCACTACATCAGCACACTGTATGAGGAAGGGCGTATTGTCGTATAGGCGATGTGCGTGGTCATCTGGGTCCTCATCTGAGGAATTTGCTTGCGTTTCTAAGTCTTAAGCAATATTATGCGGTAGAATATCTTGAAAACACAAACCTTTACGAATACACCCTTGAGCTTCGGAGGGTACCGCCTAATGAGTATCGATTTTTCTATGATGAATTTTCGGTACAACTTTTTCTGACATTAGTCTACACACCACCATCACAAAGGACAGCTTTCATTTACTTCTTATGCGCTGGATATTAAATGGCTGTAGAGTCGAAACCTTCCTTCGAAATGTAGTAGAGTAGGACAGACGAGATTCGGGCACAAATACCATTGGTAATGCTGTGGGAAGTGTAAAGTTAGATCTATTCAGTCTGTTGGCTTCCAATCTTAGCAAATTGTGAAAGACCGCCAAATAGACATTGGAAAATAGAAAGAGAAGGGCAAACACCTGTTTCGAGTGATTTGCCTACTGGTCGGTATAGACCAGGTATGGGAACAAACGTAATTTCATTGAAGCAATTAAGGTAAGATACACATGGACTAGCAAAAGCCGTGTGCTATGGTGCAAACTGCAGCTAATTTTGCTGGGTGTTGTGGGAGATATGGCCTGCTGTGTGCCTATCTTCAGACGAGTGATGAACACCAGTTTAGTTTATTTGAGGGGAATGAACAAAAATTCCCCGTGCATAAGGTTCGGGTGTGAGCAATCGTCCGGTATTAGCCTAGACAATCGCGAGAATACGCACTGTAATAGCTTGGGCTGGTTTCCTGTCACTTAGTTTGTGATACCAAAAAGTGTTCTCATAAACGAAATGTCACGTCGTCTAGGTGGGCTAGAATAGTACTCGGGATTTTGTCCGTGACCCGTGGGGCAGATGTCCTCTAGTCCTCTTCGACTTGTTCCGTGCCGTAACACCCAAGCAAATGGTACCACATGCGCTCTTGAATCCATAAACGATAATCAATGTGGCTGGCATCCTCATCTGTGGAAGTGTAAGAGGTGAAACTGAGAAGAGGCATCATTTTTCAACTGACATGAACGAGGGTCTTACCGATGCGGAAAGACTTTCTAACATCTCGGTCACCCAGTCACCCTTTGAAGACAGCATCGAGAAACGTTTTACGGGTTCGATTGTTTCGGTTCGGTTCTGCATATTGCGTGATATGTAGAGATCGAGGTAACCATATCCCTTTAGAGTGTTTCTAATAGCATCCGACTGAAGTTCTAGTCATTTATCTCAATATATTTCGTCCAGCTTTTGAAGTCAAACAGCGAACGAAGAACAGCATTATAAACCCTCGTATACTATCAACTCCAGGATGCATTGTGGTAGATGTTCCTCTGAATAGTCGTGGGTTCAATGGTACGTCCAGAATGGATCCAAGTATGTTTTAATGAAGACATTAGTGATAATGACTTAGTCCTGCATAGAGTAGCAGTACGCAGACAACCGGCAAAGGCCAACAAACGAAGGGGTGATAAAATTTTGACGGAATGACCACTGGCAGTATGGCACTCCAGTGGCGACTAATCGTTTTCAACCTACCCCGTGCCTAATGAATATCGAATCAGGCGGTGTCCGTGTGTCTGTTCTATCGACGGCACCTGGAAGAAGGTTGAGCGGTCTACAGGTCTTTTTCCAATAGGCCGTTGTTATACAGCAACTTACGTGTTACGGTTGTATCACTGAGGAACTGTCATATAACAGGGTCAAGTCCTTTGAGTAAAACATCGTGAATGAGAGCAGTATTGTATACACTCAACACTACCTGCCGAGGGGCTACACAAAAGAATAAGGTTCATTTCCTATGCCCGATTTCGTATCAGTAAGTGGTTTCTTTTCGAACTGTCATCTCATACCACTAATGCCAATTTGCGCCATAAATGTACCTGAAACTGACTGCAGTGTAGAACATGCTGCAAAAACAAAAGGACGGTGTGGTTCAGAACACGTGTGTTCTCACAAAAACGGAGTTGCGGTGCATGTTAACCAACCAAAAAAGGCTCGTGGAAGCAGACAACCCACTCACCCATCGAACCCCGGAAGAGCAAGAGGACAGATAAGAGAGCCCAGTTCACAAAAATCGTACAGGCACCGTCCCCCAAAAAAAGCAAGAAAAGCGAAAGACCACAGGTGAATGAACTGGTAAGACAGTGCACAGTGCAAAGATCGTAACATCAGAAGAGAGTGCGTTCCTAGGGTTGTAAGTATTAAACAACTGGAGATGCTAATGATGAGGTTGCATTCCCCATGGATGAACTCAACGGACTGCTCGTTTCGGCGGCTGACGAAGTTGGATCCAAGGAATTCGGTAATAAACTAGACGCGGCGACTAAATTACATAAGCTTGGGATAGATCGTAGATTGCGCATCAAAAGACAGCGACCGTTTTCATATTCCCGACGAGATGCAAACAAGTGTAAATCAAACCTGGGAGGAAGTGTACGGTAGGGATTGGGTGAATTAAATTGTCGAAGACGCAGTGCTTCAATTACACCACCCAGCAATACGTCCATAACAGATCTGTCAGGAGAATTCGATCCACTGCGCAAACATTTGTTATCTCTTGGGAGAGAATTCGAAGTTCCGGCAACAGTTGGAGGCAATAGCCACGAATTAGCTGCGTTGAGAGGATTAGCAGTAGCATTTCCTGGGTCAAACTGTCGGGCACGCATCCATGCCGGTAAAACCGCGGGAGGAATCAAATTCAGAACTGAAGACGCATCGGTGTCCGTCACGTTATCTGGAGGTTGAACTTGCGGTGAACAGAGGGGCTGACCAACAAAACTTCGTGACTTTGGAGCTAATAGCATGTCCATGAGGATCTGTAACGAAAAGGGCATGTCCAACAGTAAACTGCGAGACTAGGGTATACCCAAGGGACGTGACACAAGACTGGGCTCGGATGAATTTTTTGTTTCAAACCGTACTACTAACAACCGGAAAGTAGCACAGATTAGAGGGAGCACAGCTGCCAATGTCGGGTGGTGCTTTTGGTGGCAACCGTATAAGTGGCAACAATTACGTCCTATCACACCAACTCACTTTGACAAGAGTATGGAGCATCTGACTTTGAAAAGGATGTTTCTAAAACGGTCGCACAACTGAATTCATATTGGACGTTACTGCACACAAGAGAAAAGCCCTTATCTCTTACTTGTGCAAACGAGCCAAACGGACAAGAATTGAGTTTTTTGTGAATTTGGAAAACTATACGAGACATAAAATTAACACCGGAAACCGAACTCATCCAGTGGACAAGATTAACAAAGCCCTGAAAAAATCCAACTCCTCACTAGTGTTCCCAGATGTGCCACCATACCATGGATACACTTTCCGCTAGTCAAATCATAGAAACGAATGTGTCTACCCTCATATGCAACTACGGCAAGTGACGTTGAGGATGGACAACCACGCACATCACCGCACCGGATTTGAGAAAGGATACGTCCGTGTTGGAAGAATCGGCTTTATTTTTCGGAATAGGCTGACCAACTGGTTGGTTTCCATTGAGAAGCGAGTTGATAAGCTTTCTGTAATTTAGTGTACGTAGAACCGTCTGGGTGCCTGACTGCCATGCCACCCAAAGGAAGCACGAGGGCTGGGATACTGCCAGGTTGCCCACGCTTAGACAGAAGCTGAGATGCAAAAGTCGGGTTCGAACCACGGACCTTCCGGCCAGCAAATTCGCGCTGTAACCACTTGGACCATCTCGTCCCCTTAGTGTACATAGGACAGGAGATTGAGCTTTGAAGGGTTACAATATCTCCAGGTTACTTTGAAAAGGCTAATAAATCGTTTGGGTCCAATACCCTTTCAGTGAAAAGCTACCATGCCACCCGAAGGAAGCGCAAATGCTGAGATACTGGCAGGTTGCCTAGCCTAGGCAGGAACAGTTGAAATGTAGAGGTTGGGTTCGAACCGCGGACCGTCCGGTTAATAAGTTCGCGTCTTAAGGATTGAGCGATCTAGAGCTGGAAAGAGCAAAAATGTGGCTAGAATGTTTATTTAAAGTCCATTGTAGAGTCAGGTCAACAGCCACCTGATCTATCACCAATACAGTTGAATTTCAGTTGAATGTCATCATACATCTGCACTTCCTCAGGGGATTCTTGCTTGAAGTGGAACCTTCATCCAATGGATGTACAGCAACCTCAATGTGTTCCTTTCAATAACTGTTGTTATAGACATGGTCACGTAGTTCTACAGTTTCGAATGTGGATTTCACCGTGCGAATAAAGCCAATCTATTCTGGTAAACACGGTGGAGTCACTTCGTTCTTATATGAAATCATCTGCAGTACGTACCTCACTAGCCTCCAGGGTGATTTGTGTGGCAGTCTATCCAGCTCAATTGGTTCCTCAGTCAATGGAATAGATAAGTAGGCTACTGTTATACACAAACTGCGGGGCGCTTCCAAAGGTGAGGGCTTCGTGTCAGGAACGACATGTCTTTCTAGTGTTAACCTCTGGTGGCACTGAAAACAGACACGGATTCAATTGACAGCTGTCCTTAATTGTACAACACTTTATAGGGAATTGAACTGGACAATGAATATGGCAATACACTTTTGTTCAATCTAATCCGAAGGGGTTATTCCTCAGTAGAGCTTCGTACGTGCGCATCGTTCCACTAAAACATAAACAAGTTCTGTGGCACAATGTCCCGTAGTGCATGATAAACCTAAGCCAAATTCAAATCCATAGTTAAGCAAGCAGCTGGATCCTTGTGTGGATCGGTGAAAAAATTTCCGTAGTGGTGGATAGGCGAATCCAAGTGATCCTGTGACTGGTATTCCAAAATGGACGAGAAAGGTGGTCTGAGCGTGTCTCTTAAGTCTCAAATGGGTCTACGTCATAAATCACCATATGGCTGCACAGCAGCGAATTATCGGTGTTGAACGGACGATGTGCTGTTGAAGATGGTGATGCTGATGGCCACAAGCTAAAATGTTAAACAATCTCGAGAAATCCAGCCGGGAAACGAAGGACCGCACTCAAATCCCAGTCAGATCACACCATATCGACAGGGGTCATCAAGTTCCGGATAAGCATCCGTTCAGAACCATCCAGAGAGCACCAGAAATACAACACCTAGTAAGACTGAGACAGTTGAAATTTGCCACCCACAGCGTGCACACCAACAGTTTGTGCAACCTTTACCCAGAGCTGTTGTTTTGATAACAACTGGTCGGTCAGAGTGATCGCTATGTTTGGTGCTCTGAAAGGCATCTTGCCCCACCCATTGGCAGCATCCACTGGTACCCTACCCATGATGCTCGACTAGGACTGCTGATCACCTTCACATCGAGGATGTAGTCATCATCACCATCATCACACTAATAAGGATATCAGTGTTCAACACTGACGCTTCACTGCATATCGGGCAGCAAAGCCAAATTCATTTGAAAGCCTCATTTTGAAGAAAAGAATAAAAATAGATGTGGAAGGGACTTGGTGCTAGCTGACCACAATCATTCCGAGGCGCCGACACCTCAAGACACTGAAACAGACGGGTTGGATGGAAACGGACAACAAGAACGCCATTGACACTGATTAGCAGCCGCATCTTGCAGCGTCCCCAAACACGCGCAGGGAAGATCGCGTGGACCCCATCCTGGAAGGCGAGTCTCACCGACAGCACCCAGACTCTTGGTACTCTGTTTGATACCCCTCTGTCACGTTTCGAGAAATACACTCATTTGCAAATCAATTTGGTTTTCACGACAGACTCAACTGAATCTCTCGTTTATCATATTCTACAACTGAATGTGATGCACACAGGCCGCCTCATGATTCAGTTGGCACGATATTCGAGATATCCCAGTATATTTTCATAAAGGAAACTACTCACAAGCTGACTGAGTCTTATTTTGAAGAAAAGGATAAATGTGGATGGTGAAACTGCTTGCTGCTAGCCTGATGCGATCTTTCCGAGGGATTCATATGTCCAGACACTCATTCGCGCAAATTGTATAGAGATTGACAACAAAAGCATCGTTGACACTGATTAGCAGCCGCATCTTGCAGCGTCCCCAAACACGCGCAGGGAAGATCGCGTGGACCCCATCCTGGAAGGCGAGTCTCACCGACAGCACCCAGACTCTTGGTACTCTGTTTGATACCCCTCTGTCACGTCAAAGATTGGCCACCTCTCCGCTTAGGTCACTTAGAATTGGGTATGGAAAAAAGAATTGTCCTCGGCAGACGACCGTTCGGTATGAGGAGTGCATGGCCCAGCTTCTGATGCTGACTACATTCTTCAATTGAAGTCCCCTTCGCATAACCGGAAATTCACTTTCTAACTGCTTCGTTACGGGTTTTCCTACACCAACCCACACAATCCAGGACTCTGAAACAACCGTTGTCGAACAACTAAAAACGTTTCAATTCCATTGATCAAACAGGCCAAATCTCACAGCTATGCGACGAAACAGCCCGTACTGTGGCCTGATACAAACGTGCTTTGAGATTTAGTGACATATCACCCCGACGCCAAAGGTGTCTCAGATTAGCTAACGTGACCCAAGTCTTCCAAATTCATGCATTGACCTCATCTATCACACTATAAATGGAAACAACACAACTTCCAAGCTACATAAAACGCTCGAGTATGGGTGGGTGCAAAACTCATGCCAAAGGACGGTATAACAAATGCGCTTTTTTACCCCTTTGTAGGACGATTCCGTCTGCAATTCCAGATTGATAAGGTTTTGTCAACGGGTATTTTAACACCAGGGCTTTGAGGACCTTCCAGCGTTCATCTCATCGATCACGAAATTAAATAAGAATGGAGGGGATGGGCACCCCTAACGGACACCTCTTTGAGTACGGGAGGTTTTGGAGAGCTCTCCGAATATCCCCGCACGTTCGTAAGTTTGAGAACACAAAAAACTTACCACGTTCACAAACTTCCGGAACGTTCTTCGAGGGGGAAAGTGCGTTAAGGAGGACAGACCGACGAACTAAGTCGGATGCACCTAGGAAATCCAGGAATACTAAAACTGTGGATCGTTTTTAAGTATCTCGTTGTTCTAGCATTTCACTCAGCGCGAAGATGTGGTCAGCGCAACTCTTACCAGGTCAGAATCCCGCTTGCTGCTCTCGAGTCTCACGAGCCATCATAAGATGACAAAGCACCAGTGACGCCAACAGTCTCGTTGCGACAGGGGTCAAGTTGATTCCCTGTGGTTACCGTGCTCACTAAGAGCCGTTTTTTTTTTTGAAAATTGACATTATCACTGATTCTCTCAAGTTGTCTGAAACAATCTCCTTTTCCCGAATGCACGCAGACAGATCAGATAAATGCTGACTGAGGACGTCACCATAGTTCAAGTGGTGGGAGGTCATCTGGACCAGGAGATTGGTGGAGCTTGAGAGAACATATGCAGTCATAATTGTTGTTCGAACTATTCAACCCACCAGTCGAAGATAGTCGCTCAAATCTGATCCTTGATGGTTTCACCTACAGGTGGTTTCCGGATACCAGTCGCACGGATCAATTGAAATAATCTTCGGGAATTCCAGGCTTTCTGCACCTCTTCTATTTCCTTGGCCTTCAGAGTCCGCCAGGTTTCACGGTCGGGGCGCAGGCTCACTTCCCTTCGACGTCAAATGTGGCAGATTACCATGAGGTGGGTAGAGTGTTCGCCGGAAAGCCTACCCTACGATTACAAGGCTCTCCTGTATTCGGTTCTCACTCAACACCTGTAGTTTCACATACATTTTGACACACAACAGAGGCGACAGCACAGTGTACCACTTCGGCTGGGTGACTGAACCAGGCCAGGTTGGCCAAAAGCATTAACAACAAACAGATACGAACATATTCTGAGTTCAAGGACTATTGTTTACCAGTGTTCTCCTAAATTTTCATTGCATGCTTCGTTTTGCTTTTACGGATAAGAGACATGAAAATTCATAATAGTATTGAGGCTAGACATCCACGGAGCTGCCGCAAATCTTCAAAACAGGAAGATAAAGCAAGAAAAAGCCGACAGTGTGACAGCAGCATGTGGAGAAAAGACTTGAGTTTCCAGATGATTGAAATCGCCACCTTGGTCTTGAGTGCTCCGAGTGAATTAGCTTTGACACGAAGTAACATAAACAGCAGTTTAATCATTATGAAGCTAACTTCCATTATTCCAAGGTGCAAACCCAAATGAGATGTCCGGTGGTAGGTGCGTTATGGAAACATTGTCGATAGAAGTCGGTCAAAAAAATAAATGAATGTAAAGAAGTGACCGTTTGTTTCCCTTTTCATACTGAGTATTGCGTTTGTACCACTGATATATGTACACCTGGAGAGAGGACAAAATAAACGCCAAAAAAGTGTAAAGTCAAATTTATGGCACATAAAAATTCGAAGAAAATCAAATATCGTACCTTTTTTAAATTTCCTGATTGGTAGTCCGCCCAGAATGCTTCCAGTTGCCCCAACTGCGTGAATCGGAGATGACAGATGAAATCCCCAGGAGCCTGCGCGCTCAACAAATTTGAAGCTTGTACAAAACGGTGAATCTGTTGTTCAAAAGGTTCTTGGCGATCAGTTTGAATGCGCCGCTGAAACAGTTGGTGGGGAGATGAACAGGCAAGCCGTTATTAACGGAGAGATACATAGTGGAGCGCAAGCTTGAGTACTGTATACGGCAAACTTATCTTTTTATTTGGCTCACATTAAAAACGACAGGGTTGTCTCGGTTACCAATATCTCATTTAACAAGTCGGAGCTCAAAATTGCATCTAATTTAGCCGCTTAAACTTAGGAGGTAGTGTATAAGTGATTCAGCATAAATTCCAGGTCAAGTAGTAGTAAATATTTACGTAGCCCCGAAAGGAAGATACTTTCGAGGAAGCTACTTTTGGGGAATGGAATCTTCTTTCTTTGGAACCCCTCAAGGGAACCACGAACTACCCAGAGGAAACACCTCGTGGTTCGAAAAATAGCTGCTTCAAGGCTTAGAAAAAACATCCCTCTAGTCACGCTTTGACAGAAGTTCAAGGACAATATGTAAACACCTAAAGTACCGAGAATAAGCGGTGGTTCTCGATGGTAAAAAAATAAGGTCGACGAAGGGAGAGTATGACACAATTCAGAAAGTTTCCTCGTGTGTGCGACGAGGAGGGACAAGGCGAAAAGAGAACAACGAACCACGAACTACCCAGAGGAAACACCTCGTGGTTCGAAAAATAGCTGCTTCAAGGCTTAGAAAAAACATCCCTCTAGTCACGCTTTGACAGAAGTTCAAGGACAATATGTAAACACCTAAAGTACCGAGAATAAGCGGTGGTTCTCGATGGTAAAAAAAATAAGGTCGACGAAGGGAGAGTATGACACAATTCAGAAAGTTTCCTCGTGTGTGCGACGAGGAGGGACAAGGCGAAACAACAGAGAACAACATAGATATCAGGTGACACCCAGATCAGAGAATGCTACTATGAAATTAAGTTTGCATCCAAAAGATGAGGCTCTAGCTGAAAAGGGACTTCTCGTTTATGATTACAGTCTCACAGGAGACAGACTAGAGTTCGAACCTGAACAAGGTTCCACAGGAAGCAGGATGAAGTAACCGAAGGAATTACCAAAGCAAGGTTTGAGCAAGAGTAATTGTGTTTAATCATCATCATCGTCATCATCATCATCGACAGCATGACATCAGTGTTCAACACCGTTGCTTCACTGCCGTACAACCATGACTTATTTGAAAGCCTTATTGTAAAGAAA